CACAAAGCAGTATTTCTTACCTCCCAAGCTAGTGATCTGAGTAGGACCAAATAAGTCAAGATGCAAGAGTTCTAAAGGTTTAGAAGTTGAAACACACTTCTTTGGTTTAAAAGAAACTTTTGTTTGCTTTCCAAATTGACATGCATCACAAATTTTATCCTTTTCAAAACATATTTTTGGCAAACCTCTAACCAGCTCCTTTTTCGAAATTTCCTTTAGTAAATCCATGTTAACATGACAAAGTCTCCTATGCCACAACCAAGGATCTTCATTTGAAGCTTTAAGACATTTGAGGCTAGAAGAATCAATTTTATCAAGAACCACAATATATATGTCGTTAAACCTCTTACCTTTGAACACAGCATTATATTTGGAATCAAGCACAATGCATTCATGTTTTTTAAACAACACATTCAAGTCTTTGTCACACAATTGACTAACACTAAGCAAGTTATAACCTAAATTATCAACTAAGAGCACATTATAAACAAAAGTTTCACCATCCTTACCAACATCACCTATTCCAATTGTCTTAGCTTTCACATCATCACCGAATGTCACCTTACCACTTGATTTTGATTTTAGCTTTATGAACAAAGAGGGATCACCGGTCATATGCCTTGAGCAGCCGCTATCAATAAACCATTTGGACTTGTTTGAGCCTTTTTCCTGAAAAGAGAAAATGTTTGGTACCCTTTTTAATTTTTGGGTCCACAATAGTTAGCATTGTATCTTACTAACCACATGCATTTTATCCCTCTGTTCAGATTTCTTTTCACATAGCAATCTCCTTTCAAATGCCCTTTTTGACAACAAAAATCACACATAATGGAAGAGTCCTTAACATGTACTGGTTTGACATATCTCAATCCATTTCTTCTATATGTAGTGAAACCATGTGCATTTTTGTTGCGTGCTAATGTTCTTTGATGAGCAGTAAGAAAGGTAGATGACATGTTCTTTTTGAGAAAATCTTGTTTTCTAGCTTTCAAAGTGTCATCCAAGTTGTCCATCCTTTTTTTCAAATCACAATGTCTTTCCTTCAGCATTCTACAAATATTTGTCTTTCTATCAAGCTCATTTTGAACATTAAATCCGGCTCTTACAAGACAATCATTGTCAGTCTTTAGTTGCTTATTTTGTTGAAGAAGACTTGTATTTTCATGAATGAGAAAAGTAATTTTCTGTTTTAGCTGCTTGTTTTTATCATAAGATTCCTTCAAGACATTATGCAGGTTTTCAACAAAGGATTCAAGATCATCATCTTCTTCATCATCACTTTCAGATTGAGAGTGTATGGAAGTTACCTCATTATCTCCAATAGCCATGAAGGCCATTTGAGCTGATTCTTCCTCTTCTTCAACTTCCCCTTCAGAGTTGCATTCATTCCAAGTAATCTGGAAGTTGTTGAATCTTGGCTTTCGATCAGCTTTCCCATCTTTCATTTTCTTCATGGGGCATTCGTTTGCATAGTGTCCAGGCTGTCCACAATCATAGCATTTATCCACTAGCTTCTTGTTGAATTCTTGTTTTCTTTTGTTCCTTGCATTTGATGAATAATTTTGAAATTGATTGCTAGGACCTCCCTTTCTAAACTTCCTTTTATTCAAGATTCTCTTGAAACCTCTTGTGATGAGAGCAAGATCATTATCATTACCATCTGAGTCTTCATCATCCAAGTGAGCTGGATCATCTTCACTTTGAGTAGTCTTCAGAGCAATATTTCTCTTTGCTCTAGCATCCTCTTCCTCCTGCACTTTAGATTTCAGTTTCAACTCATAAGAGGTTAGTGAGTTAATGAGAGATTCAATAGGCACAGAATTTAAATCCTTAGCCTCCTCTATTGCAGTCACTTTATTTTCCCATTCTTTGCCCAATGTATTGAGAATTTTCCTGTTCTTCTCTCCCAAGGTGTACTCTTTGCCCAACACCTCGAGATCTTTGATCAAGTCATTGAACCTGCAATACATTTTGTCAATATCCTCAAGAGGTTCAATTTTAAATGATTCATACTTTGTGACCAAGATAGCCTTTTTCTGTTCTCTCACGTTGTCACCACCCTCATGGATTTCTCTTAGCTTATCCCACATTTCTTTGGCCGATTTACAGCCTTTTACTCTAATTGATTCATTTGAATCTAAGGCACTATAAAGAACATTCATGGCTTTGGCATTCAATGTGAGATTAGTCCTATCTTGAGCATTCATTTCAGCTCTTCTTTTTGGCCGAAGCAACCCTGTATCTGCATCAAGAAAGTTAGCTTCATGCGGTCCTTCACTCACAATAAACCATAGCTCAATATCAATAGATTGCAAAAAGATAATCATCCTTTCTTTCCAGCTAACATAATTGGAGCCACTGAACATGGGAGGCCTAGTAACAGATTGCCCCTCAACAAACATAGCATGACTGGTTGTCATCTTTACTCCAAGCCGTTAGAGCTTAATCTCTAGGAGACCAAGCTCTGATACCAATTGTAAGGCCCAAAGACAACCTAAGAGGGGGGGTGAATTAGGTTGATTAAAATCTTAATCAAATTTATGCAATTTTTGCTTAATAAAAATTTACCTTCTTTTCTAGTAATAATCAATCAAGTAGATTAGAAGAAGAGAGCAATATTGATTCGAAAAACAAGTATAGATAAGCAATGAGAATTTTATTAAACAAAAAGAATAAGATAGAATATCAAACCGATTGTCTACCAAGCTTTCCTCAAACTTGAAGACCAATCACTAGGTTGAGCAACTTCTCTTTGATGAAAGATGATCAACTAGATGTACAATGGAGGGAGCACTTCCTCCTTGCCCTAAGCCTCACTTAGTCAAGCTAAGAAGTTTTTCAATCACTCAGATAACCCTCAACAAAGCTACACTAATGAAACTTTCAACCACAAGAGAAAAGCTCACAAGAAATTCACACCACTTGGAGAACAAATCTAGCTTTGGAGACTATTTTCTAGCTAAAATAACTCTTGAGATCTTGTAAACAAAGTGTGCAAAAGTTCTCTTCTGAATCAGAATCGTTTGTATTTCAAGGGAGCCAACAATGAGCTTCATTAATACTTCCAACGGATAGAAGGCAGATGACGAGTCAGCTAGCCGTTGGAGCTGTCGGACGTCCGACGTCTTAGTCATCGTCCTATCCCATCGTCCGAAACTCAGTCAAGTTGTTGTTTGGACGTCCGAGCTTCTGTGTCCGAACGTCGTCCAGAGAGTTAACAAATCTTCGTGGAATTTTTAGGACGTCCGATGAGATTGATGTGCGTCCGAAGCATGCGTCCGATCCTTCAGGACGTCCGATGCTTCCTTACGAGCGTCCGACAGAGTCTTGGCAGAGAGTCATCAACATTTTGTGGAATTTTTAGGACGTCCGACACGTTCGATGTGATTCCGAGGAGTACGTCCGATCCATCCGGACGTCCGATGCTTCCTCATGAGCGTCCGACAGAATCTTCTTCTTAATGATCTTCATCCTTTCGGACGTCCGACCAATTCCTTAGGACGTCCGACATGAGTGTCCTGTTTTTGCTTCTTCTTTTGGTTGATTTTCAATTCTTGACATATTCGTACCTGATTCTTTGATAGGCAGAAAACACTTATATTTGAAGAGAGTTAAACAAACATTTCAAAGACCTTTGTGATCATCAAAATCAAGAATAACAAAATTATATCTAAAATCCTTGCAAATAGACTAAAGAAAGTGCTGGATGTGTGCATCAGTAGAAATCAAGCAACTTTTGTCCTTGGTAGGCAAATTTTAGATAATGTCGTTATTTCTCACAAATTTCTTCACTACTTAAAAAAAATGGCAAGGAAGAAATGGATTTTTTTGCTTTGCAATTAAACATGTCTAAAGCTTATGATAGATTAGAGTGGAAGTTCTTGGAGGAAATAATGAAACGAATGGGCTTCTGTGACAAGTGGATCAGCCGGATAATGAATTGCTTCAAAACAGTTATCTATTCTTTCAATGTTAATGGTGAGATAAAAGGCCATGTAACCCCCAATGAGAGGAATCAGACAAGAAGATCCCTTATCTCCTTATATGTTGTTATTATCCTCAGAAGGTTTCACCAACTTGCTCGAGAAGAAAGTAGAAAGGGAAAGAAAGATCACAGGGATGAAGATTTGCAGGCAAGGACCAACAATCACTCACTTATTTTTTTGCAGATGACTCCCTTATCTTTAGCAAAGCAGATCCCAAAGAAGCAGAAGAGTTTATGGAGATTTTGAGAAAGTACTAGAAGGGCTCAGGGCAAATGGTTAATCTAGAGAAATCCTGTCTTTTTTAGGACGAATGTATCTCAATCACAGCAAATGGAGGTGTGCAACAAGTTCAGCAACATACAAGTAGTGACTCTGGAAAGATACCGAGGTTTACATATAGTAATCTCTAGGCTCAAAAGGCAGGTGTTCAATTTCATCAAGGAAAACTGTGAAAAGAAGATGCTTCATTGGAAAAATAAGCTGCTGAGTAAAGCTAGTAAAGGAGTTCTACTCAAGGCAATAATTATGGCAATGCCCACCTATGCAATGTCTTGCTTCAAACTACCAGTTAGATTATGCAAAGAACTGAGTCAAATGATGTCTAACTACTGGTAGGGAAAGGAAAATGGGAAAAGGAAGATGCATTGGTGCTCGTGCCAAAAGTTAACCTTGGATAGAAAAAGTTGTGGTTCACTACAAGAAAACTGACTTTTCACGACGCCAGAAATGTGCTGCAAAAAGTCTAAAAACCGCCGCGAAAACCTTTTTGCGGCACAAATGCGACGGAATTAAATTGTATCACAAAAGTAGCCGTTACAAAAGAAAACGACACAATTTTTCAACATGTCGCATGCATTTGCATCACTCTTTGTGACGCCAATTTGAGTGTCACCACTCTACTTGCGGTACAAAAAATGCGCTATAAAATGTCCACAATGTCATGCAACAAAAACTTGCGTCGCAAAAAAGTCACCAATATAAAGACCAGAAATCAATTTTTTCATGGTACAATAATTATCATGCTCAAATATCCTAAAATCAAATATTATAACAAAATATAGTTCCACAATACACTAGAATAAAGTATCATACATTGTTTTAGTCAAATTCTACAAACTTTATCATTTAATATTGTTCGCTCCAATTACAAGATGTTTCATATATTCCAAAATGTGCTTGTCTTCAAAAGTACAACACTTCATCATACATCTCTCAAAAACATCTTCATATCTCCCAATCCGCGTGCTTCCTATGTACCATCAAGTCCAGGGCTGCAAAGTGTATTCTATTAGTCTCCTACTCATATAACCCCAGCCCATTAAGCATGAAGAAAACGTTAATATAACAATAGATACTGAAACGGAATTTGTAATTCAACCTTTTCACAGACACTGAAAATTAAGACCACTTCTACTACATTATGTCCCATAAATAGCTGGCTAAATCTTAACAAAAATAGCTCGTCTTCCCAATCATACAAATACTCAATGGAAAACTTGACAGAATAGAGTTATTTCCAGAAACTTTTCCAGTACCTCAAGCAAGTCGTTTGCAAGTAGTCCTGCTCCTTTTCTTCTTTGTATGGTGGTTCTGATATAACAAAAGACTAGTCAATTGAATATCAACAAGGAGCTCATGCACAAATAGTCATCAACAAGGAAGTCATGCACAATTCAATATCAACAAGGAACTCAGCAAAATTGGTCTTCTATAGAAGGACCAACTCAAAGTACGCATATTATACCTCAAGAATATCAGCAATTGAAGAAACTTTTTTATTCATTTCACACTTGTTTATTTCAGCATCATTTGTTCCAACTTCCTTGTACATTTCAACATCATTTGTTCCAACTTCCCTGTTCATTCTATCACCAACCTGTTACATTATCAACAAAGTGTGAAGAAAAGAAAATCAGGCCATAGTTGCTGATATTTCAGAGAGTTTGAACACAAAATCGAATTGTATGAATTAATATAAAACCTCTAATGAGTCTGAAATTTGAGATTGTTTTGCTGCATTCATTTTTCTTCTTTGGAGTGATGCCAAGTCACATGTGGATGCCCTCTGGAAGAACAAAGATAAATAGTAACTAAAGCAATAAAAAAAATTAGAAAAACTATAATATTTAACCAAATAGTTATTCCAAACCATTCTTGCTTCAAATTGAGCAATCAACTCCTCCTTAAAATCTGCCAATTTCGAATTCATTTCTTCTCGTAGTTCACCACGTATGATTTCCACTTTCTCATTCACTGCATCCTCAAATGCTTTCTTTTGTCCAACATTCATGTTATCTGACATCCTATACACGTCTTTTGGAGTCCCACCTACCCCATAAGTTCGAAGACGACCTGGTTTTTCAGGTCCAAGAATATTTTCATAGAGTATATCTTTCACAAAATTATCATCCCTGGATGTCTCTGGCAGTTTTTGTATTTCCTCATTCATAGTTGCCTAAATTGAAAAACAGACAGAAGAAAGAATTATTTATGAAGTAAAACCAATAAAAAGTGACTAAAAGCTATTCTTACAATTGTTTGTGAAGTCAACTCATCCATTTGTTTTCTTTGTCTTGAATGAATAAAAATGTCTAGTTTCGAAGGCTCTTTTCCAGTTTTAATCCGAAGCTGCCACATATTCAATGTACAAACTAAAGTGTTAATATTTCTAAATAAGACTATTTTCCAGAAAAAATTGCTAGAAACATAAGCATTAGAATTTAATATACCTCTTCCCTGAGGTTCACATGATCTTTTCGCCCTGTTCGATGTGGCATCTTTTGTTTTTTTCGATTCTTGCTATTAATCTTGCTTTGCTTCTAATTATGTACAAAACAGAAAAAGGTAGTTAACAACACATCAAAATCATAATAGCACTAGAATTTAATTCAAAAGCAAAAGAGATGTGACAATAAATACATGCCTTGACATCTTCTGAGCTCCAATAATCAACCAAAATAGGCCATTGATCCTCCTCAACTCTTGCAGGACAGTGTGCTAATAGCCATGACCTGTGCCTCCTATAAGGAGTGAAATACATGCTCTTGACTTTTGATTTCCAATTTCTCCACAATTTGCTAACCCTTATCATTTGTACTTTCTTGCATGTATCATCAATATTTGTATTTCTCTATCAAAAATTACAAAACAAAAGTTTAAACATTCACAAGCTACAAGATTGTATGAAATAAAAAGAAAAAAAATGTTGCTAACTTTGATAGTGAGTCAAAATACCTTAATATCTTCCCAAAATCTCTCCTTAGATCCTTCAGGCATGGCCCTCCAATCTGTGTACGTGAGTGGTAATTTATTACCATCCTTTACTAAGATTCCTACTTGACTTATATACTATGTAGCATTAGGACCAATTACTTGGCCCCGTGCATTCCAAACTAACTCCAATTTCTTTCCACCACCCCAACCAGCACTTCGTCTGGCTAGTCCTCTACCATTATTGTCTCCTGTGTACAAAAAACACATACACATACAAAAGAAGAAATTGTGATTCATATAATTTTTTTATGAATATTATACAAAGCTTATAATAAGGAATGCTAGACTCAAAACTATTTGTGGTAATCTTTTCTTTTCCAACCGACCTTCTTCACTAGAATCATCATCATCAAAAGTACCATCAAAGACATCCTCTATGTCTTCTGAATCATATGAAGAACCTGATCCAGCTTCAGAATCATTGTTATCAAAGGAATCTGGTTGCTCACGATGGTCTACTAGTGGTTGAGAATGAAAGCCTTGACCGATATGTGAATTAGGATGGGAATTTAGTTGAGAATCAGCCTTGGAGTTCAACTGATATGATTTGGCTTTAGAGTTGAACTGAGAAGCAGAAATAAAGCTAGAATTGGAGTCATGTGATTTCGCTTGACAATTAGGTCGAGAAACAGAGTTTGAGCTAGATGTAGGGTCTATGCATATTCCAGGCATTGCCCCAATGAATTTATGTGCTGGAGGCTTTGAATAATGATTTGGGTGAATCTGATAAGATTGAGAGCTTGACTGTGAAACAGGGTTCAAACTATTAGTGGACTCAATATGCGCTCCGGACATTGGCCCAACAACTTTGCGGGGCCCCTTCATACTTGGTGCCATGGAAAACCTATAAAAGCAGCTTCTGATTTTTGAAGGCAAAGTTAAGTAAGATGATTAATTTTACTGGCTTTTTTTAGAAACCAATCACATAATTCAGCAAGAGAGTGTTGTATCATCTTACTTTTGGAGTTTAAATTTCTAAAATCTACAAACACAAAGAATATATTCATATTAAGGAACTATAACCCAATGAAACCAGCATTACCAACTTGCTAATATGAACATAAGGAATCATAAATTGACATCCAAGGCAGTGAAAATGATCCCACAATTAATATTTTTCATACTAATCAGTAACTTCATCTAATATTGGCATTCTAAACTTCATATAACAAAATGTTAGGATTATATTCCAAAATTAGAGTCAATCATCAGCCTTGTCTCCTTGTTGGGCTTTATCAAAAAAATCATCATCATCACTTGTATCATCAATCGTATTGTCAATCCTAAGATTATCCTCATCAGAGAAGAATCCATCATCAACGTCAGCAACGTGTGCCTTGGATTTTGTAGTTTGTGCATCAAGTATAACTCCATCAACACCTTCCCTAACCCATGAAACATTACTATCCTCAGAATTATTGTTATTAACATGTTGCCAAGCAGAATGCTCATCCTAGATATCTTCACATATGTTAATTTCTGGATCAATAATGAAAAGATCTCGAGGGGTCATCTTGACAACTATATTCCATTCAGGTTCCAATGCATCCCGAACATACCAAGTTTGCTGTGCTTGAGAGGCAAGGATGAAAGGCTCATCATTCTTCGTGTTTTGCTTGTACAATATATGATCAAAGTTAACAAGTGTGAAGTTGTGTTCATCTTGTTTCATTCCAGTGACATTATCAACCCAATCACACTTGAACATCACAAATTTAATGTCATTTGAGTATCTCAACTCAACAATATCCACTAAGACCCCATAGTATTCTAAAATTCCAGATATAGGGTTCTTATCCTTTGTACTAGCGAAACTATTGGCACTAGCATTCACAAATACACCACTATTTTGATTGCTAGCAAGCTACAATTGCAAGGCAGATAAATATGATGGTTATGGGCAATTTAGATAGTTAGATTGCTGTTCAACTATGTACAAGAACTTGTATACTGTATTGAAAAAGACATAATCCGGACAAAAGTGGCAAAAAAAAAGGAGAAGTAACAAATGCATGACAACATAACAATCTACACAGAAGTCCAAATTTTCAAACTGAAACTCTAGAATTCCACCTTAAATCACATTAAGTCTCAAATAATTGAAAAAACCCATTAAAATCCACATTTAAAAATCATATAGTCGTTCTCCATCTTAACCCAAAAAAAAGCATAAATAACTCAAGTTGACCATTACTAATCACTAAATTCCTCTTCGTTTTTTGGGAGAACTGATAGTTCTTATTTAATATTAGGAATACTCCACATAGAATCAAGATAAGAAAGCTTTCAAAGTTTCCAAACGATAATCAAGCACTAGCATGTGCAGTACTATAACTCACAAGCAACAAGCAACATATTGGTCAAACAACCACTAAAGATGAAATCATAACCAGAATGACGCATAACGAAGGACAATGAAGATGTGATATTATGAGAACAACATCTTAGCTTGTAACAAAAAGCAAAAAGTAGTCACTGAAACGAAACGGCATATGCATACGATGTGGCATATCCAAATCAGGTAAGAGAAGAGGATAAAAAAAGCAAGCAAATTAAGTATGAGACCAGATAGCCCCAGAAATTTAGGAGGAGACAAACAAAGGAATGTCAGAGCAATTAATCAGCAATATTGATAGCAAATACCACAAGTTGAAATGAGTAAAGTGAAAATATCACAAAGAAATTGAGATTAATTACCTCGCTAGTACAGCTTCAAAAGTTTCGCTCAAATTAGATTGGTTTCATCAGTGGAGACTTGGATAAGAACAGAAGAAGAGAAAAAAGTGCACCGATTTTGATAGAACACGGCATCGTCTTTGATAAAACAATACTTCAGGTGCTATTGCTACTTCTCGTCATCGCTATTAATTGTAAAAACATCCTGTGTCAATCTGCTAAAGGATTAAGTAATTACCTGTTTCATGAAAAATAGAGAGATAGAATGAGAAATTAGGGATGAGCAGAGGCAAAATCGAAAGTTTTGGAAGAGAAATTTGAGGCATAGGTTCTCGGACTATAGAAGAAATTTAGAAAAATTGAGAGGGGAGAAGAAGTGGGAGGACTGAGAAAATGGAAAGATTACTTACCATGAATATGATTCAGCAATTATTCGTTTAATGCTTGGACAGCTCACAACAACGACATCGTTTAGTTGCGCAATTAGTGGTGGAATTTAATTGTGCCGTTAATTTGACACGAAAAGCCAAATACGGGGTCAATATTTCAGCATAATCAAAATAATACCACTTTATTGCAGCAAATTAGCTATGTGCCGCATTGAAAGTGCCGCAAATGGCCAATTCTGTTGTAGTGGTTTAGGCTTCAGAGACCTATAGAATTTCAACAAAGCTATGCTAGGTAAGCAAATCTGGAGTCTCATAACAATGCCCAACTTAAAGTGATGAAAACAAAATACTACCCAAAGGAGACAATCTTCGACTGTAAGGCCCAAAACAATGCATCATGGATTTGTCAAAGTCTAATGGTAGTGAGAGAGGATGTGCAGAAGGGCACCAGGAAGAAAATAGGGTATGGGAGAAGTACAAAAATTTGGAATGACATTTGGATACCAAAGAATCCCCAAGGGAAGTGATAGTGAGAGAGGATGTGCAGAAGGGCACCAGGAAGAAAATAGTGTATGAGAGAAGTACAAAAATTTGGAACGACATTTGGATACCAAAGAATCCCCAACGGAAGCTTGTGTCAACTAGACCTCAAAATTGTTAAGTACAGAAAGTGGAAGACCTGATCCAAGACTTCAAATGTTAGTGTTCAGGCTATTTAATGAAGAAGAGGCCAAGAGAATTCTGAGAATACCCACAAGTCTGGCTAACAGGGAGGATTGTCATTTCTGGATACATAATGCAAATGGCTAGTACACGATTGCATTAGGTTACAAGAAACTTAGCATGCAAGAAAGAAATCAATGCCAAAAAGGGCAGCCAGGAGAAGAATCCAGCTTGGAAGAAAAACACCTCTGGAAACACCTATGAAAATTCAATGCAATGCACAAGTTGAAGATCTTCATTTGGAAATGTTTGAATAAAGCTTTACCATTGAATAAAGTTATTTTCAATAGAACAAAGAAGGGATCTCCAATATGTGAAAGCTGTGGTGAAGACATAGAAACAATGGAACATCTGCTCTTTCACAGCAGAATTGCTGAGGAAGTTTGGCACCTATCACCAGTGAAACGGGATGGAATTGAAGACCAAAGAGGGAACTTTAAAAGATGGTGGAATGCTCTAATTGAAGCCAGGAGTAGACCTGCAGGAATGGAACATATTCCACTAACCGTAAATATTCTTTGGCAAATCTTGAAGGCAAGAAATGAGAGAGTATTTAAAGAGAGCAGAAGACCGTCATTCAAGATTATTCAGAGAGCTCAGTAAGCACTCAAAGAATATAGCGCAGGGAATAGTCTGTTGGACAATGTAGTGGCTCTTAAACTTGCAATGATCAAAGCAAGAGAACAACAATGGAGGAGAATTGAGCCTTTGCTCACTAATTGTATGGTTCATACACAAATATAATAAAATCGTCTATCGTTTCTAGAAAAAAAAAATAATGAGAATTTACAGATCCTATTCATCAAATGTATGATTCAGCACACAACAGTTGCGTCCTTGTCACAATCCAAATGCAACTCGCTGAACATAATCCTGGCGTCTCTTTGAAGGCATCCTTATCAATCCTGTAATTTGCAGCTCAGAGACTGCCCTGCAGAACCTGGCTCTATAGAAATAATTAAGGATATCAATACGAAGAATCACCAGATTTTGTGCCTAATCTTCAAGTAAACTTTCAATGCAACATCTATTGCTGAGAGATGCATAATTAGAAGTCTACACAGGACTGCAGGAACTCAAATAAATATATGTGCACTTTGTCCACATTCACTATGCGAGTTAAAAATGTTCATTTATGCAAAATAAGCGTTGGATGTTTTAGGGGGAGTGGGGCATTGCAAGCTTGTATGTAGCATTTAGGTTTGTGAAGATCATATTTCTCTTTCATGTGCAAAAAATAACTGTGGTCAATGACAATGCTAGAAATTAAGGAGACTCTGAGACCAGCTATGATTCTGAAAGACAACTTCTGGAACATTAAATGTGAGTCGTAGAGAGCCCTAACAAAGTACATACTTCCTAGAATAATGACAAACCACTGGGGAAACCTGTAGAATAGCATGAATTGACGACTTCTGGATGCAATATAAACACATAACCAATGCTTTCACTGACGCGATATCCTTAATAGTCCGTGAAAAAAAAAGGTTAAAGAAAACAAATAAGCAGACAATGTCTACGATAATTTGAAAGATGACAATAAACATGCACAAAGGAAAAGTGAAAGGATACTGAATAGATGCTTCGCTTATCTTTTGTGGTTCATTCGAAGGTTTTCTCTTCTTTGGTGAGGGTGACTGTGACTGCTTCAATCTACTTTTAGTTCTCGTGCCTGACTTAGAGATTGTCACTTTAAAAGATTGAAACCAGTCATGGATATTGATAAGGTCACCATGTTCTTGAGCTAAGCTATATCTGAGAAAATATGTGAAAATAACCCTGTCAAACTGGTGACTCAGGACAGCATGTACGGAAATTTTGTCAATATAATTTACATATCCTTGACATAAGAAAAGGTAATGAGCTTTTGTTGCAATAGATTATTACACAGGCAGATAACTCTTAAATCTATCTGAATTAAACTATGAACAAAATCTAATTGAGAAACTTAGATAAGACTTACATTATTGAGGTATCATGTATGGATGGCAATGACATGCAGGCATTTTCTCTGCAGCAACTACACTTGAGGAATTTCTGAGACTCCAACAGATCAATTTGAATTCTTGTCCTAGGATCTCCAATCAAGGCCTAACACGAAGCAGAAAAAGACAAGTAAGCCAATGGATATTACTTGTTTCACTTTTTATTATCAAAATACCAAATAAGAAATTTTACATGGTAACCCCATAATGAAATTACAATAGCAGGTACCCAGCACAAGATCTATGAAATTTGTCTGAGTTCTACATGGAGAATTAAGGAAGCTTTAGTGGTGCTATAGGCTGTTTGGATTATTAGAAACTGGCTTACTCTAACTAAGAAATTGCAGGAGTCACTGCTAGGGAAGATAGTCCACTGAGATTGTGGTGCTAAATAAGGAACCCTTTTATTATTGCATAACTGTTAGTTTTTGAATCTGATGCAAGCAAAGAAGCAAGAACACCAACTGTTCTATTGTGGAATACTGGAACTTCAACTTCAGCATGAACAAAAACAGACGTGCTCTCAGAATAAAATCTTAATTAGTACAAAGAGAAGTAGAATTTTGGGTGCAAAAGGATAACAATAAAGTACTACATATATCCATTTTTTTGTGGTGCCCTATACTAGTTTTGGTACATAATCCTCACTGGTCAAACCTATTATTAATACTTAGGAAGCTTCCCTACTAAATAACCACCCTGTATACTCGCAGTCAATTTAAGTGTATACAATTTAAAGCCAGTGGACTACAGTAAAGACATTCTTAGAAGCAAGATTGAGCTTCTCACATGATTTGTCTTCTTCAGTCTTATTTTTTACAAGGGACACTCCTCTCTTATCATTCTCTGTACTCTGATAAGGTGTTTTCTATCTGTAAAAGCTCTCTCATACAAGATAATACCAGCTAGATTGAGCTTCTTCACTTTCATCAGACACACACATAGTTTTTGGAATTCCACACCCAAGTACGCTGTATAACAATAACTACATGTATTCCATATAGTTACAACTACAGGCTTATAAATTACTAGCCTAGATTGTACTCTTGTTCACTCTGTTAGAAGTAGACTATCTAACTGGATTCACTAGACAATTTCCAGAGAATCAAAAGAGAGAGATATTGGGTAATGAAGTTAACCTCCAAGCTAAATTTACTAATTAATTGGATCAAATCTGGTGCCCTGCAATGCTACATATAATATGATTTTAAACCACTTAAGAGTTTGAAGAGAACTCCAAAATGTCTAAAACAGTCTTTGAAAAGAATGGGAAGATTGGATAAGTGGAAACCTGTAAGCTAAAACAAATACATGATCAAAGTAATCCTCGAAACTTAACTGATTGAAGTTTGTCAACATTCTTGAAGCAGATAACTTCATGCAAAGGAATACACTCAATTGGCTGCATGTATTCCCTGGAAAACATCAAAAGTTGGTAAAACTTCAACAAGGAGAGCGCACAAATAAAAGTAAAACCACGAATATCAGTTAATAATTTTTAACATAAGCTGCAGCAGTCTACACAAAAAGTTACATAAACTCTCTCTACATGGGCCTGCAAATCTGTGTGTGGCTAAAAATAGGTATAACGATACAGCAGAATAAACATAAATCATCAGCAAAATAGGCTTTTGCTCCAGTTTCAAGAATTGTTTAATTTGCAGCATATTTGGTAACTCTCTTTTAAGCACTTACAGATTTTAAATGTTCCATTGTGTAGAGTTATCATAGATATGTTTACAAGACCTTTAGACAGGAGTTGAATTTTGAAATTAATAGGATCAAGATAGGAAGAACATAGAAGTTCTAAAATGATGTCCATACTGTGCATTGTGCAGTCTCAAGTACACTTTTCTTGATTGTACTTTTGGTCAGCAAATCGAACAATCACAAGTAGTTTCAGTGACCTTTTAGGTAATTAGAGAGTACCCAAGGTTTTACCTTGCTGCAGCTTTCCAAAGCACCTTTTTCAGGGTTTCCCATTACAGTTTCATCGTCCTCACCATCCCACCAGATATATATTCCCTCTCCTCCCAGTCCCCCAGTTACAGTCTAAATATACATTTCTCTTGACAATTCATCACTCAACAACAAAGGCACCAAATGCATAAAGTAGGAATATGACCTACTTACCGCACCATACAACCGGCCAATCTTGCAGCTTGTTCACTCAGTTTGGCCATATCCTTTCCTGAAATTAAGTTGCCACGAGTTGTATGTATACTATGACAAGAAGAGAAAATGTCCATCAATGTGCTGATGAATGACAAAGTCAACTGTAAGCGATATGTGACATACAACTTGTATATTTGCTATTGATAGAAGAACTGGATAAATATAGGAGCTAAAAGAAACAGTACATGATGGAATTCTGGGCATTCTGAGGAGAGAAGAATAAAAAGGAATAAATATGAATCAAAGCTTAAAAAATCCATGTGCCAAGTATTAAAGTTAATACTTTTAAACAGAAAAGCCCTATCTCCATTTATGTAACAACAGAGTAAATGGAAGTAGAGGAGATCAAATTGGCATCATTCTTCTGATCCGACTTTTCTCACCTCACTTGTGAAACTAAAGACCACTGGTTCCTTGGGGATCAATACTTCTACAGCAGTAGCTGAAGATGTTTCCACTTGAAAAATGCAAAAAATATTCGCTAATCATGGAAAGTTTGAATAGGCCCTGGTTCTCTCGTGTGATGGTGTTTAGGCCATCAAATTCAATTTGAAGAACCATTTTCGGACAATATCTGATCCTTACTATTGATACCCTGTTGATTATCTAGTCTTCAATAAAGCATTATGCAAAATTAACTATAGATGCCAATATCAGTGACATGGAAGACAAGAACTGCCTAGTGGACCATGACCAAGAGATTGAAACAATATGCACCCTCATAAAATATACATACCTAGAAACCTCATTTCTGCAATATTCTTAGTATAGGAACCATATGGAAAAGGAAAGGAAATGAGATATCCCAAGCGAATTTTAAAATAACTCTAGTTTTCAAATATTGACTTTGCACCAGAAGCTTCCACAACTAGACTGGCATACACTTTTGAGGAAGAGCTTTCTGATAATATGAAGCACCATCATTCCATCTCCCACTAAAATTATGTAATTATGGTTAAAGGAAAATGGAACTATCACTAGAAAATACCACTATTCATATCAAAGAAAAAATAAGTAGAAACATACTTGGACATGTCCATTGGCTGCATAGACAAATGCATCCTGTCCTCAGACCTTGCCAAAGATTGCAACTCCTTTATTTTCTCATGGACCTGTATGATGGTTTACATAATTAAGGCTACATCAAGCATCAATTGATGTACAGGCCAAGTAGAAGAAAGATTGATTTAAGTCTGCTATCAAGTAGCACTGCAGACTTCCCCGGCCACAAGAATGCAAGTCATAGTTGAAAGGTAAAGACATGCTGAAAAATGCAAAATAGAAAAGGAAGAATCCAAGTACACAGAAAGGGTAAAATTTCCACAAGAATCT